GATACAAATCTTATATACAATCTGGTGCACTGATTAGAGTTGAGGACCAGCTTAGTAATTACACCCCTTCTAAGGTCCCTCCAGCTACCTACATCTTGAACCCCGGTGCTAATCACCCTTCCACTGTCCACCCCCCCCCCCCCCCCCCCCCCCCGCACCAGACACACCACAAAAGGTAGCCTACCACCACCCAACAGTTTATCTGCAGAACGGTCTTCTGGGACACCCCACACACATAGATCTCCATCTGGCCGATTTGTTACCTTTTACAATCTACACGCAATCTGCCCACACACAGTGCAATTGCATACAGAGAGGCAATGAGCTTGACCGAGCGTTTAAAGGCACTAAAATACGTTACAATCTAATCCAATCTAATCTCTCCAATCTAATCTCTCCGGAGATATGAGCCCGAGCTTAAATACACAGAAGTCACTAATTAATTTTAAGATTTAATTTCCCGAAGTGGGCGGTGCATAAAATATGTACAAAGTATAAAAAGTTACAGAAATACAAGAAGACACACAAATGACTTCACTATAAAATAAAAGGGAATAAAACAGAATAAAACTTTACCGAGATCTACCCTGCGACTGGAGCAAGTCAGAGAATCAGCAATCCGTCAGTCAAATCGAATCGGCTCCATACGAATAGCAAATGTCCCAATGCCCGGGTACCCCATTTATGGGGATATAGACGTAGGCGGGACATTAGTCCTCGGCCAATCGACCGTGGGGGGCTGCTCCTGCACCCGCCCACAGGATGTTCTGTGTGCTGACCTGCCCAAGTTAAATCGGGCCAAGACCAGCTTGAAACACCAAATCGGGGATTGGATTTCCGACACCCAGCGCATTGGCCCGATCGCGACAGTACCAAACACCATTCGACTGTCGCAACCCAGTGCCACCTAACCATTCCCTGCATTTTCCTGGCCTTCTACCTAAACCACAAATTTGATTTTTAGTGCCGATGTGGCGCACAGAATACCCTACAAGAAGGGAGTATGTTCATCTCTCTGCAACTAATATTTTAGCTTTTATGAGAGATTAAACATACTTCTTTTGATGTATGGAGGAAGCCAAAATGTCTGGGGGGCCACATCATTTAAACTGGTTTCACCAGAAGGTGACAACCTTATTAACACAAAAGGTGTCACATCCTGGAAGCCGGGCTTTTCAGCCTAATTGATGCTAATTGTACCTCATTTCCCCAATGACAAGGACTGAATATACATCCTTAATGACAATGGAATGTCCCTACAGAATATACATCCTTAATGACAATGGAATGTCCCTACAGAATATACATCCTTAATGACAATGGAATGTCCCTACAGAATATCATCCTTAATGACAATGGAATGTCCCTACAGAATATACATCCTTAATGACAATGGAATGTCCCTACAGAATATACATCCTTAATGACAATGGAATGTCCCCTACATCCTCAAAATGTGTACATTACATATGCTACTGATCACATCTTACCTACTCAAATCTGTACATTTATGTCACATGTACGTTACACCCGCCCCTTCAAATTTTCCCATCACTTCGGTCGAAAGCAAACATCGATCTGCCCCCCCCCCCCCACACACTAACGATTAGAAAATCAAACGAATGTTCTTGAAATAAAAAATTTCGAACAAAGAACTATCCGTGTATGGGCGGCTTTAGAGCGATGTGGCGGCAGGTTGCAGCATTTTGTGGGAGGAAATGCGATGAAAAGGACTCAGGTGTGATGGGCGTGTATGCGTGTCATTGTCACAATGTAACGATGATCCAACCAATGTCTGTGCTGTGATCTGTCTCCTCCCACCGCAGATCAGCCCATCCAGTACGCACATAGCACCTACCAGGACGGGACAGCACAGCTGACTGTACAGGATGCCCTGCCCGAGGACGAGGGGGTGTACACCTGCTGGGCGCAGAACAGCGCAGGATCCGACTCCTGCCGCACCACGGTGACCGTATCCGGTGAGCAGCTGTATGCTGGTTTGGGGTTTCTGTTCCTTTAAGTGTTAGTCACACCGCTGCAATTTGCGGATTGAAATCGCACCTGAAATCACATCTAATGAATGCCAGTGTCTTATCACGTGCGATTTGCTGCGACACAGTTTCTAAAGTCGTTCTGGCGTGACTTTTTCTGCAGTTTTGTTGCAATTTCACATACATAGAATATAACTGCACTGCACTGCAAATGGCAAGAAATCGATGAAAATCTCAAAAATCGCATCTGAAATTGCAGTGGTGTGACCGGCGATTTAGTGGCAGTGTGGGTGGGCGTCGGGCTTGTGGTGGCATTTAAGACCAAGTGGTTTCTGTTCCTTCCAGGTCACGGCTCATGGCGCATATTCTTTTCGGAAAAAACGATCGTACGATTTGACCATCATTGAGTCGAAAATCGGTTGTTTTTCACGAATTTTCCAACACGCCCGATCACCGAAAAGGGGAGGAACCAGGATTCGACCCGTGTATGGCCGGCCTAAAGCAGGCCATAGACTTCCAATAAAGTTGACGAATTATTGGCCGACAAAAAAAAAAATCATCCGATATTCAGATCGTTAGTGGGGAAATCGGTCGGCCGTTTTTCATAATTTTAAGACATTTAGAAAATCGGCCCTGCTGGAAAATCGTCGGACTATTTGGTCGTTTGGCCGATTTTCACGGTAATTATGGTCAAATCGGCCGTTCTTTTTGCAGATTTTCAAATAAGTTGAATATGAAGAAAAAGAAATAGAATATCAAGAAGAAGAAGAAATTGATTTTGCAGAAGAAGAGGAAGAAGAAATAGATTTTGCAGAAGAAGAAGAAGAAAGAAGAAATAGATTTTGAAGAAGAAGAAGAAAGAAGAAAAAGCAGAAGCAGAAAGAAGAAGAAGAAAGAGGAGAGAAGAAGAGAGAAAAAGGAAGCTAGAAAAAAGAAGAAGAAGAAGAAAGAAGAAAGAAGAAGGAAGAAGAAGAAGAAGAAGAAGAAAGAAGAAGAAGAAGAAGAAGAAGAAAGAGGAAGAAGAAGAAAGAAGGAAAAGAAGAAGAAAGAAGGAAAAGAAGAAGAAAGAAGAAGAAGAAGAAAAGAAGAAGAAGAAGAAGAAGAAGAAGAAGAAAAGAAGAAAAGAAAGAAGGAAAAGAAGAAGAAAGAAGAAGAAAGAAGAAGAAAAGAAGAAAAGAAGAAAGAAAGAAGAAGAAAGAAGAGAAAAAAGAAGAAGAAAGAAGGAAAAGAAGAAGAAGAAGAAGAAAAGAAGAAGAAAGAAGAAAAAGAAGAAGAAAGAAGAAAAAGAAGAAGAAAGAAGAAAAAAGAGAAGAAGAAAGAAGAAAAAGAAGAAGAAAAAGAAGAAGAAAAAGAAGAAGAAAGAAGAAAAAGAAAGAAGAAAGAAGAAAAAGAAGAAGAAAGAAGAAGAAAAAAGAAGAAAAAGAAGAAGAAAAAGGAAAAGAAGAAGAAAGAAGAAAAAGAAGAAAGAAGGAAAAGAAGAAGAAAGAAGGAAAAGAAGAAGAAAGAAGAAGAAAGAAGAAGAAGAAGAAGAGAAAGAAGAAGATGCAACATTGTATCTATTTGTATGCATTTCAGATACAGATGTTTCTATTCAAGTACAAATAGATACATTGTTGTTCCTTCTTCTTCTTCATCTTCTTCTTCTTCTTCTTCTTCTTCTTCTTCTGCAGAATCTCTTTCTTCTGACACAATAGTGGGTCTCTCTGCAGGGACAGCGCTATTATATTAATTGCCGGCCGCAGACGGGATGAAAACCAGGCGACTTTTTTTTACAATGGTAGTAACGTCGGCCGACTGAACGACCGATTTTATGATTTTCTAAAAAAAAAAAAAAACGTCTGGTTTTCTCCAAGTCTATGGCCGGCCTAAGCGGTGACCTGGAAAGAAAAGAAAATTCTTGGCCACAAAAATTATTTTCTGTAGCAACACGAAGGGGAATTAAAGGCTCGGTCGGTCGAATTTCAAAATCAATGGTGGCGCCATCGGGTTACAAAACGCACGAAAATTCCGATTTTTTAAAGAAAATTCGCTTGGAATTCGACTCGTGTATGGCCTGCACTAGCAGATGCAGAACTCATCTCTCATCCTCGTATCAGGAGGGGATCCCCCAACAAGGAAATGTTAGGATTTTCTGATACAATTTGTAACATTGTGTATTCTTTGCAGATCGCTGATTTGTATTTGTTTCCATTCGATTGTTTTGGGTTTATTTTCTGCATTTTTGATGAAGTTGCTGTTTTTTTTCCTCTCCCTTTCTTGTGTTCCTGAGCCCGGTATATCCCTAACCCCTCCCCCTCCAGAGGATTCCCCCCCTTCAGAGGATTCCCCACCTCCCCCTCCTTCTTAGGTTTTTTTTGCGGATGAAGAATCGGTCGACTTTCGATCCATGTGTGGCCGGCCTTACAAGGAATTAGCAAAGAAGAGATCAGCGTTTGTTACATTTGGATACTTTTTTAACATTTATATTTCCTGCCATTTGTACACCCCGGACCAGGGGCGGACTGACCATTTGGAAACTCTGGCACTGCCCGAGGGCCCGGGGTCAGTAGCGGGCCCCATGAGATGCCCCTGGTACCTTTTTCATAGGCTTTTTTGAGTTTGGGCAAGGACACGGGGGCCCCATGATCCCCTATTGCCCGGGGGCCCCATGAGTTGTCAGTCCGCCCCTGCCCCGGGCACATCGAACCTGACTTAGAAATCATGCGACTTAGCCTGGGATCACATACATGCGGCGTGGTACATCACATGGGATTCACACGGGAACCTCGCCACATTCCCTGCCAATCACATGCGATGTGTGTGCGGTGCGATCGGAGGCGGACATTCTGTATGGATCTAATCGCACCAAAAACACGCAGGACCCTTTTTTAGGTCGGCACTGGAATCGGATCGCATGAGTATTCACACCAATGAGATCCGATTCTTCACATCGCACCGCGTTTTACAGACCGCTTTTGGGGTGTCGTTCACTTACCATTCACACCTGCAGCGGCTCGCAGGAACGGCGGGCGATTCTGATGTGGTGCGGAAAATGCTGAGAATTGCACACCTCAGTAGGTGATCCCGGGCTGAGATGTACTTTCAGAAAATATTCTCCTTTAAAGGTCTCCTCCACCCTAAACTGTCATTTCCACTTTCTGTGGATGCTGCCTTATTGGGTCACAGTTGGGCGACCACAACCATTGGAAAGGGCGACCAGCTGTGGGAGGGGCAGAGACACATACTACTGCGGGGGAATCTCCCCATTGTGGGAGGGGCAGAGACACAAACTACTGCGGGGGAATCTCCCCATTGTGGGAGGGGCACAGACACAAACTACTGCGGGGGGAATCTCCCCATTGTGGGAGGGGCAGAGACACAAACTACTGCAGGGAATCTCCCCATTGTGGGAGGGGCAGAGACACAAACTACTGCAGGGAATCTCCCCATTGTGGGAGGGGCAGAGACACAAACTACTGCAGGGAAATCTCCCCATTGTGGGAGGGGCAGAGACACAAACTACTGCAGGGAAATCTCCCCATTGTGGAGGGGCAGAGACACAAACTACTGCAGGGAAATTTCCCCATTGTGGGAGGGGCAGAGACACAAACTACTGCAGGGAAATCTCCCCATTGTGGGAGGGGCAGAGACACAAACTACTGCGGGGAAATCTCCCCATTGTGGGAGGGGGAGAGACACAAACTACTGCGGGGAAATCTCCCCATTGTGGGAGGGGCAGAGACACAAACTACTGCGGGGAAATCTCCCCATTGTGGGAGGGGCAGAGACACAAACTACTGGGGGGAAATCTCCCCATTGTGGGAGGGGCAGAGACACAAACTACTGGGGGGAAATCTCCCCATTGTGGGAGGGGCAGAGACACAAACTACTGCGGGAAATCTCCCCATTGTGGGAGGGGCAGAGACACAAACTACTGCAGGGAAATCTCCCCATTGTGGGAGGGGCAGAGACACAAACTACTGCGGGAAATCTCCCCATTGTGGGAGGGGCAGAGACACAAACTACTGCGGGAAATCTCCCCATTGTGGGAGGGGCAGAGACACAAACTACTGCGGGGAAATCTCCCCATTGTGGGAGGGGCAGAGAGACACAAACTACTGCGGGGAAATCTCCCCATTGTGGGAGGGGCAGAGACACAAACTACTGGGGGAAATCTCCCCATTGTGGGAGGGGCAGAGACACAAACTACTGCGGGGAAATCTCCCCATTGTGGGAGGGGCAGAGACACAAACTACTGGGGGGAATCTCCCCATTGTGGGAGGGGCAGAGACACAAACTACTGCGGGGAAATCTCCCCATTGTGGGAGGGGCAGAGACACAAACTACTGGGGGGAATCTCCCCATTGTGGGAGGGGCAGAGACACAAACTACTGCAGGGGGAAATCTCCCCATTGTGGGAGGGGCAGAGACGCAAACTACTGCAGGGAAATCTCCCCATTGTGGGAGGGGCAGAGACACAAACTACTGCAGGGAAATCTCCCCATTGTGGGAGGGGCAGAGACACAAACTACTACTGCGGGAAATCTCCCCATTGTGGGAGGGGCAGAGACACAAACTACTGCAGGGAAATCTCCTCATTGTGGGAGGGGCAGAGAGACACAAACTACTGCAGGAAAATCTCCCCATTGTGGGAGGGGCAGAGACACAAACTACTGCAGGGAATCTCCCATTGTGGGAGGGGCAGAGACACAACTACTGGGGGAAATCTCCCCATTGTGGGAGGGGCAGAGACACAATCTACTGCAGAAAATCTCCCCATTGTGGGAGGTGCAGAGACACAACTACTGGGGGGAAATCTCAGTATTGTGGGAGGCTTCTAACACACAGCGGGGGGGGGACTGACTTTTAATTTTCCATCCAAGAGACAGATTTTATTTCCACCGACTGCATTTCCAGAATCCAACATAAAGGGTGAGATCTGGGATCAGGACTGGATCCTGTCTGTGTTGTTTCTATGGACCAATCAGATTTCAGCGATCGTTTTCTCACACAGTTTGGAGCATATTTGGAATTTTCCTTTTTGTGAAGTTTTTTTCAATGTCGAATCATTTTCTCCGTGTTCTTCTCTGGTTCCACGACTGGCTGTGGACCACACGTGGCCTTCATGGGGGGTAAATGGCTATCTTCCATCACCCAGAAAAACACCAGAAAATGATTCTCGGGATTTATGGGTGTCGATGTCATCACCGGGAGAGTGATGTCATAACTACAGAGGTGATTGATGGCGCTCTGCTCCGTCTTCCCAACATGGCCGCCGGTAAATCTTCTCCGGAGAGAGGCGGTGAAGCTCGGAGAACTCTTCTATAAGTGGAAGTGAAGGCATTTCATGGGGCGATGTGATGGGAGCCGGGATGCCTCACTAATCCTCGGGAGGAAAAATCCTGCAGAAGCTGCGCTCGGCTCCCAACACAAATCATGATGGAGGAGCGCCGCGCACATTATCGCCGTATATTTACTGTACAAACTGCGGGCGGCGAGGATCTGGAACTTCTCCGGAGAATAAAGACATCATCTGTGTGCCTGCCTCTCCCCATCAGGAGCACCAAAGATTCTGTATGAGGGGTTTCCCACCATCCCTGTGCGGAGTTCACACCCGCTGTGCCCATGAGGGGTTCCCACCATCCCTGTGCGGAGTTCCTGGGTCTGTACACCCCCTGTGCCCATTATGAGGGGTTCCCACCATCCCTGTGCTGAGTTCCTGGGTCTGTACACCCACTGTGCCCATTATGAGAGGTTCCCACCATCCCTGCGCTGAGTTCCCAGGTCTGTACACCCGCTATGCCCATTATGAGGAGTTCCCACCATCCCTGTGCTGAGTTCCTGGGTCTGTACACCCACTGTGCCCATTATGAGGGGTTCCCACCATCCCTGTGCTGAGTTCCTGGGTCTGTACAGATGCTGTGCCCATTATGAGGGGTTCCCACCATCCCTGTGCTGAGTTCCTGGGTCTGTACACCCACTGTGCCCATTATGAGGGGTTCCCACCATCCCTGTGCTGAGTTCCTGGGTCTGTACAGATGCTGTGCCCATTATGAGGGGTTCCCACCATCCCTGTGCTGAGTTCCCGGATCTTTACTCCCACTGTGCCCATTATGAGGGGTTCCCACCATCCCTGTGCTGAGTTCCTGGGTCTGTACACCCACTGTGCCCATTATCAGGGGTTCCCACCATCCCTGTGCTGAGTTCCTGGGTCTGTACACCCACTGTGCCCATTATGAGGGGTTCCCACCATCCCTGTGGCTGAGTTCCCGGTCTGTACACCCGCTGTGCCCATTATGAGGGGTTCCCACCATCCCTGTGGCTGAGTTCCCGAGTCTGTACACCCGCTGTGCCCATTATGAGGGGTTCCCACCATCCCCGTGTCGAGTTCCCGGGTCTGTACACCCGCTGTGCCCATTATGAGGGATTCCCACCATCCCTGTGCTGAGTTCCCAGGTCTGTACACCCGCTCTGCCCATTATGAGGGGTTCCCACCATCCCTGTGCTGAGCTCCTGGGTTAGTTTGGGCTCTGTAATAAAATCTCACTTTTGGATGGACTGATCCTTTGTAATAAATGAACCTTCTATTTATAAGGAAGGGGCCCCGGCTCTGTCATGGTGCTGGGGCCCATTTGTAAGTGTAGGTGACCCTGTCACAGATCTATAATCGGAGGGGAAGGCGGGTCGTCCTTCTCATCATAATCTGATTAGATGAAGACGTTCCTGCAGTGAAGGTTTAATCGTCTGAAATCCGGAGCATCTGCCGCCATGGTGGGACTCCTCCGGGATGGACGAAACATTTCCCGCACACGCTGAGCCACAGAGGTCGCTGCGAGGATTTCGGGGTGAGAGCAGTCACTTTGCTGCAGGATACGATCGATTGTTTCTCCCCGTTTCCTGCTCCTCCCAGCCGGAGGTTTCTCATTATCACTCCCATCATGCAGTTCAGGCGCCGCAGACGGCGTTCGCTGTGCGTTTTTTGTGCTGTTTTCACTACAACTGACTTCCATTGATTGTCAATGAGACGGATTTACTAAAGGAAAATAGACGGCGCACTCTGCAAGTGCAGCTGCTCCGGAGCGCAGTGAATGAGCAGAACCAGGGGCGGACTGACCATTTGGAAACTCGGGCACTGCCCGAGGGCCCGGGGTCAGGAGGGGGCCCCATGAGATGCCCCTGGTACCTTTTTCATAGGCTTTTTTGAGTTTGGGACACAGGGGAAAACATGATCCCCTATTGCCCGGGGGCCCCATGAGTTGTCAGTCCACCCCTGAGCAGAAGCTCTGCTGACTTCAATCATCCAATCACGTACATCCAAAATTTTTTCTTTTTTAATTTTCCTTGCACCTGATTGGGTATTCTTTACGAAGTGAAGCTTCTCTACATTTACAGAGAAAAAAGAGTGCGAAGTCTCCATGTAAACGACTACTTGACTGTCAGCCCTGATGAAGGGGGACTGTGGCCCCGAAACGTGTTGGCTGTTGTGTTTTTACTGTGAACCATTTACACTCCGGTCACCCCGGGTGCGACTTGCCGTGCCATGCCATGTGAGTTGCAAATCGCACGGCAAGCCGCACCCTATTGTCCGCACATACAGCGGTCATATCGGCGCGATTCCGACTTCAGAGCCGCAGCGATTTCTACAATAGTGCATGCGCCACTTCAGGTGCGACTTCAGGTGCGACTTCAGGTGCGACTTCAGGTGTGACTTCATGTGCTACTTCAGGTGCGACTTCAGGTGCGACTTCAGGTGTGACTTCAGGTGTGACTTCAGGTGCGACTTCAGGTGCGACTTCATGTGCGACTTCAGGTGCGACTTCAGGTGTGACTTCATGTGCTACTTCAGGTGCGACTTCAGGTGCGACTTCAGGTGTGACTTCAGGTGTGACTTCAGGTGCGACTTCAGGTGTGACTTCATGTGCGACTTCAGGTGCGACTTTAGGTGCGACTTCAGGTGCGACTTCAGGTGCGACTTCAGGTGCGACTTCAGGTGCGACTTCATGTGCTACTTCAGGTGCGACTTGCATACATATCTGCTTTCTGGCTTTGAAGTCATGTGACCTCACTGGAAGTGATCCATGTGACGGGAAGGGGGGGGTGTAAAGCGATTCGGACTCCACCATTTGTTTTGACACTTTTACTTTCACTACGTCACTTTCTGGCTGCCCATTGGAGGGAGGTGCAGGTCTGGACAGAGGGCGGGAGCTGTCCAACTTCTGCTAACAAGTCCTGTTAGAGGTCCTGCTGCACCTTCTGCCCTCTGCTGTGTAAAGGGGGTAAGGGGGGAGGGGCTGGGATTCAAGTGGGGGGAGGTGATGTCTGGGGGGAACTGAGGACACTGATGTAAAGGGGGGGCTGGGATGTAAGTGGGGGGAGGTGATTTATGGGGGAAACTGAGGACACTGATGTAAAGGGGGAGGGGATTGTGATGTACAAGTGGGGCTGAAAGATATGGGGGAAATTGGTGACAAAAAGGGGGGCTGCAATGTAAGAGATGGGAATGTGATGTAAAGTGGGGCTGATATGATTTAAAGGGGTGCAGAGTTCCTAAGGGGGGACAGGGGACACTGATTTAAAGGTGGGGGGAAGCTGTGATACAATGAGGGGGAATGTGATGTAATGGGGCAAGCTGTGATGTAATGGGGGAGCTGTGATGTAATGTCGGGACTGTGATGTAATGGGGTGAGATGTAATTTAATTGGGTGAGCTTTGATGTAATGAGGCAAGCTGTGATGTAATGGGAGCTGTGATGGGGGGGACTATGATGTAATGAGGTGAGCTGTGATGTAATGGGTGGAGCTGTGATATAATGGGGGGGACTGTGATGTAATGGGGAAATTATGATGTAACGGGGGAGCTGTGTTGTAATGGGGGGAGCTGTGATGTAATGGGGGGGACTGTGATGTAATGGGTGGGACTATGATGTAATGAGGCAAGCTGTGATGTAATGGGAGCTGTAATGGGGGGGAATATGATGTAATGGGGCAAGCTGTGATGTAATGGGGGAGCTCTGATGTAATGGGGAGACTATGATGTAATGGGGGAGTTGTGATGTAATGGGGGAGCTGTGATGTAATGGGGGGAGCTGTGTGATGGGGGGGAATATGATGTAATGGGGCAAGCTGTGATGTAATGGATGAGCTCTGATGTAATGGGGAGACTATGATGTAATGGGGGAGTTGTGATGTAATGGGGGGAGCTGTGATGTAATGGGGGGACTGTGATGTAATGGGGGGAGCTGTGATGTAATGGGGGGGGCTTTGTTGTAATGGAGGGGAGCTGTGATGTAATAAGGGCAGCTGTGATGTAATGGGGGGGGGGGGGGGAGCTGTGATGTAATGGGGTAGCTGTGATGTAATGGGGGGAGCTGTGATGTGATTGGGGAAGCTGTGATGTAATAGGGGGACTGTGATGTAATGGGGGGAGCTGTGATGTAATGGGGGAGCTGTGATATAATAGGGGGACTGTGATGTAATGGGGAAGCTGTGATGTAATAGGGGGACTGTGATGTAAATGGGGGGAGCTGTGATGTAATCGGGGGACTGTGATGTAATGGGGGAGCTGTGATGTAATAGGGGGACTGTGATGTAATGGGGGGAGCTGTGATGTAATGGGGGAGCTGTGATATAATAGGGGGACTGTGATGTAATGGGGGGAGCTGTGATGTAATAGGGGGACTGTGATGTAATGGGGGAGCTGTGATGTAATAGGGGGACTGTGATGTAATGGGGGGAGCTGTGATGTAATGGGGGGGAGCTGTGATGTAATGGGGGGGAGCTGTGATGTAATGGGGGAACTGTGTTGTAATGGAGGGGGTCTGTGATGTAAATGGGGGGGCGACTAGTGATGTGAAGGACCTGAGTCATCACACACAAACATGAGATTCGGACCTTAGCTGGAAGAGAATGGACCGATCTCCATGAACTATAATTCGGTCCCTCTGTACTGCATAGACCTCTCTCCTCTGACTGTAACGATGTAACATCTCAATGCTGATCTGATACTTTGTATTCCAGAATCTGATGTTCCATACAACTTGCTTAATGTCCTTTTCCTGGTTGGCTGATATCACTGCCTGGGACAATCTGTCGCTGGCAGTTGTCAGTGGACCCGGGGGGGGGGGGGGGAGGGGGAGGGAGTGCTTGTGGGGGTGTCACACCATGGGGTCAATGTCTCTGATGACGGGTTCACAGACTGTTCCCACGGTGCCGGTCCGCTTCCGGTTTGCGGGAATGACTTCGCTCACTTCCAGAGATCCAGAGAATCTCCCATGAAATGATTATTAAATTACCGCCGAGTAAAATCTGTGGAAAATATTTGTATGAAACCATTGTGTGCGAACGAACGATCGATCGGGTTCATCGGGTTCATGGTGATCGGCGTTATCGGTGATGCAACAGAAAGTTTATTATATATTTATTCTCTGAACCTGTAAAGCTGTTCAGTCAGGACGTCCCCCCCCTCCTATATTCACACTCCTTATTGGTTAAATCCAGCTCCGGACCACCCCTTCAGTCTTGAACAGGTGTACCGGCTCCTCCCCTTCAGTCTTGAACAGGTTGTACCGGCTCCTCCCCTTCAGTCATGCACAGGTGTACCGGCTCCTCCCCTTCAGTCATGCACAGGTGTACCGGCTCCTCCCCTTCAGTCATGCACAGGTGTACCGGCTCCTCCCCTTCAGTCTTCCACAGGTGTACCGGCTCCTCCCCTTCAGTCTTGCACAAGTGTACCGGCTCCTCCCCTCCAGTCTTGCACAGGTGTACCGGCTCCTCCCCTTTTGTCTTGCACAGGTGTACCGGCTCCTCCCCTCCAGTCTTGCACAGGTGTACCGGCTCCTCCCCTTCAGCCTTGCAGAGGTGTACCGGCTCCTCCCCTTTAGTCTTGCACAGGTGTACCGGCTCCTCCCCTTCAGTCTTGCACAGGTGTATCGGCTCCTCCCCTTCAGTCTTGCACAAGTGTACCGGCTCCTCCCCTCCAGTCTTGCACAGAAGTACCGGCTCCTCCCCTTCAGCCTTGCACAGGTGTACTGGCTCCTCCCCTTCAGTCTTGCGCAGGTGTCCCGGATCCTCCCTTTCAGTCTTGCACAGGTGTACCGGCTCCTCCCCTTCAGTCTTGCACAGGTGTACCGGCTCCTCCCCTTCAGTCTTGCACAGGTTGTACCGGCTCCTCCCCTTCAGTCTTGCACAGGTGTACCGGCTCCTCCCCTTCAGTCTTGCACAGGTGTACCGGCTCCTCCCCTTCAGTCTTGCACAGGTGTACCGGCTCCTCCCCTTCAGTCTTGCACAGGTGTACCGGCTCCTCCTCTCAGTCTTGCACAGGTGTACCGGCTCCTCCTCTCAGTCTTGCACAGGTGTATCAGCTCCTCTGCTCCAATCTTGCACAGGTGTATCAGCTCCTCCCCTCCAGTCTTTCACAGGTGTATCAGCTCCTCCCCTCCAGTCTTTCACAGGTGTACCGGCTCCTCCCCTCCATTCTTTCACAGATGTATCAGCTCCTCCCTCCAATCTTGCATATTTGTACTTGCTCCCCTCCTTCATTTCCTGACTGGAGGGACGCCCAGCATCATCTAGCACTTTCGTCCCCATACTGACCATCTCTGTCCCCGCCCCTTTCATTCATTGGATTTCAATTCTTTCAATCATGGAGGCTCGGCATCACATGTGAGCGTTTATCATCCACATACAGCCTGACTAGCAATCACCCGCTTCTCCAGACTGATGCCCATCCATTTTTATATTTGCATAGATCCTCCCAAGAGTCCGCCCATGGCTTGCATCAGGACTGAGGGCTCCTGGGAGGAGTACTGACGTGGCGCACCCACCGATTCCCCTGAGGGCGGGGCTTGGCTAGCAGTACATTGGCGATGTATCAGTGGCAATCAGCGGCCACAATATTGTTACAATGTATCTGTGGTGTTAAGGCTGCAAGCCTGCAGTTGGGGTTTGCAGCCTTCATTCACACGGGGTTTGCAGCCTTCATTCACACGGGGTTTGCAGCCTTCATTCACACGGGGTTTATAGCCTTCATTCACACGGGGTTTGTAGCCTTCATTCACACGGGGTTTGCAGCCTTCATTCACACGGGGTTTTGCAGCCTTCATTCACACGGGGTTTGCAGCCTTCATTCACACGGGGTTTGCAGCCTTCATTCACACGGGGTTTGCAGCCTTCATTCACACGGGGTTTGCAGCCTTCATTCACACGGGGTTTGCAGCCTTCATTCACACGGAGTTTGTAGCCTTCATTCACACGGGGTTTGTAGCCTTCATTCACACGGGGTTTGCAGCCTTCATTCACACGGGGTTTGTAGCCTTCATTCACACGGGGTTTGCAGCCTTCATTCACACGGGGTTTGCAGCCTTCATTCACACGGGGTTTGTAGCCTTCATTCACATGGGGTATGCAGCCTTCATTCACACAGAGTTTGTAGCCTTCATTCACACGGGGTTTGCAGCCTTCATTCACACGGGGTTTGCAGCCTTCATTCACACGGGGTTTGCAGCCTTCATTCACACGGGGTTTGCAGCCTTCATTCACACGGGGTTTGCAGCCTTCATTCACACGGGGTTTGCAGCCTTCATTCAGAAAACATGCGCCATTGTGCATGAGAAGAAGTGCGAATTGGCGCCCTCCGCCCTTTGTGCAGATCCGGGACTTGTCCTTTTAATTCGCACGGAATGTTCATTCCAGGAAATCCGCGATTATCAAAAACATTTTTTTTTACCCTAAATAAAAGTCGTTCCTTTCCGTTAACCCTTCGTTGGCTGCGATCGCCTCTTCCCATAGCCCAGCGCTCACTGTCATGGTGTGCGTGCCACAGAGCCGGGTCCTAGCACTGCCTGCAGGAGGGTGGGAGATCTTCCCAGAGAGAAAAGAGTTTGGACGATCGTCACACAGCTGGAAGAAAATATCGATTGCAATCTCGCCAATCACAGATCCTCCTATATGATCATTTGTATCAAATAATCACCATGTATAATACATAAGGGGGGGATATGATCTCCATGTATAATACATAAGGGGGGATATGATCTCCATGTATAATACATAAGGGGGGATATGATCTCCATGTATAATACATAAGGGGGGATATGATCTCCATGTATAATATATAAGGGGGGGATATGATCTCCATGTATAATACATAAGGGGGGATATGATCTCCATGTATAATACATAAGGGGGGATATGATCTCCATGTATAATACATAAGGGGGGATATGATCACCATGTATAATACATAAGGGGGATATGATCTCCATGTATAATACATAAGGGGGGATATGATCTCCATGTATAATACATAAGGGGGGATATGATCTCCATGTATAATACATAAGGGGGATATGATCTCCATGTATAATACATAAGGGGGGATATGATCTCCATGTATAATACATAAGGGGGGATATGATCTCCATGTATAATACATAAGGGGGGATATGATCTCCATGTATAATACATAAGGGGGGGATATGATCTCCATGTATATACATAAGGGGGGGATATGATCTCCATGTATAATACATAAGGGGGGGATATGATCTCCATGTATAATACATAAAGGGGGATATGATCTCCCATGTATAATACATAAGGGGGGTATGATCTCCATGTATAATACATAAGGGGGGATATGATCTCCATGTATAATACATAAGGGGGGATATGATCTCCATGTATAATACATAAGGGGGGATATGATCTCCATGTATAATACATAAGGGGGGGATATGATCTCCATGTATAATACATAAGGGGGATATGATCTCCATGTATAATACATAAGGGGGATATGATCTCCATGTATAATACATAAGGGGGGATATGATCTCCATGTATAATACATAAGAGGGGATATGATCTCCATGTATAATACATAAGGGGGGGGATATGATCTCCATGTATAATACATAAGAGGGGATATGATCTCCATGTATAATACATAAGGGGGGGATATGATCTCCATGTATAATACATAAGGGGGGATATGATCTCCATGTATAATACATAAGGGGGGGGATATGATCTCCATGTATAATACATAAGGGGGGGTATATGAATTTCCATGTATAATACATAAGGGGGATATGATCTCCATGTATAATACATAAGGGGGGGGATATGATCTCCATGTATAATACATAAGAGGGGGATATGATCTCCATGTATAATACATAAGGGGGGGATATGATCTCCATGTATAATACATAAGGGGGGATATGATCTCCATGTATAATACATAAGGAGGGATATGATCTCCATGTATAATACATAAGGGGGGGGGGGGGGTATGATCTCCATGTATAATTACATAAGGGGGGATATGATCTCCATGTATAATACATAAGGGGGGGTATGATCTCCATGTTTATACATAAGGGGGGATATGATCACCATGTATAATACATAAGGGGGATATGATCTCCATGTATAATACATACATAAGTGGGGATATGATCTCCATGTATAAATACATAAGGGGGGGTATAATCTCCATGTATAATACATAAGGGGGATATGATCTCCATGTATAATACATAAGGGGGGATATGGTCTCCATGTATAATACATAAGGGGGGATATGATCTCCATGTATAATACATGAGGGGGGATATGATCTCCATGTATAATACATAAGGGGGGATATGATCTCCATGTATAATACATAAGGGGGATATGATCTCCATGTATAATACATAAGGGGGGATATGATCTCCATGTATAATACATAAGGGGGGATATGATCTCCATGTATAATACATAAGGGGGATATGATCTCCATGTATAATACATAAGTGGGGATATGATCTCCATGCATAATACATAAGGGGGGGGTATGATCTCCATGTATAATACATAAGGGGGGGGGGGTTATGATCTCCATGTATAATACATAAGGGGGGATATGGTCTCCATGTATAATACATAAGGGGGATATGATCTCCATGTATAATACATGAGGGGGGGTATGATCTCCATGTATAATACATAAGGGGGGATATGATCTCCATGTATAATACATAAGGGGGGATATGATCTCCATGTATAATACATAAGGGGGGATATGATCTCCATGTATAATACATAAGGGGGGGGATATGATCTCCATGTATAATACATAAGAGGGGGATATGATCACCATGTATAATACATATAGGGGGGATATGATCTCCATGTATAATACACAGGGGGGGGGATATGATCTCCATGTATAATACATAAGTGGGGATATGATCTCCATGTATAATACATAAGGGGGGATATGATCTCCGTGTATAATACATAAGGGGGATATGATCTCCATGTATAATACATAAGGGGGGATATGATCTCCATGTATAATACATAAGGGGGGGATATGATCTCCATGTATAATACATAAGGGGGGGGGATATGATCTCCATGTATAATACATAAGGGGGGGATATGATCTCCATGTATAAATACATAAGGGGGGATATGATCTCCATGTATAATACATAAGGGGGGGATATGATCTCCATGTATAATACATAAGGGGGGGATATGATCTCCATGTATAATACATAAGGGGGGGGATATGATCTCCATGTATAATACATAAGGGGGGGGGGGTGGGGATATGGGGGGGGATATGATCTCCATGTCTCCATAAATACATAAGGGGGGATATGATCTCCATGTATAATACATAAGGGGGGGATATGATCTCCATGTATAATACATAAGGGGTGGGGGATATGATCTCCATGTATAATACACAGGGGGGGGATATGATCTCCATGTATAATACATAAGTGGGGATATGATCTCCATGTATAATACATAAGGGGGGATATGATCTCCATGTATAATACATAAGGGGGGATATGATCTCCATGTATAATACATAAGGGGGGATATGATCTCCATGTATAATACATAAGGGGGATATGATCTCCATGTATAATACATAAAGGGGGGATATGATCTCCATGTATAATACATAAAGGGGGGATATGATCTCCATGTATAAATACATAAAGGGGGATATGATCTCCATGTAATAATACATAAGGGGGGATATGATCTCCATGTATAATACATAAGGGGGGATATGATCTCCATGTATAATACATAAGGGGGGGGATATGATCTCCATGTATAATACATAAGGGGGGGGGGGGGTATGATCTCCATGTATAATACATAAGGGGGGATATGATCTCCATGTATAATAATAATAAGGGGGGATATGATCTCCATGTATAATACATAAGGGGGGGATATGATCTCCGTGTATAATACATAAGGGGGGATATGATCTCCATGTATAATACATAAGGGGGATATGATCTCCATGTATAATACATAAGGGGATATGATCTCCATGTATAATACATAAGGGGGGATATGATCTCCATGTATAATAACATAAGGGGGATATGATCACCATGTAATAATACATAAGGGGGGGATATGATCTCCATGTATAATACATAAGGGGGGATATGATCTCCATGTATAATACATAAGGGGGATATGATCTCCATGTATAATACATAAGGGGGGATATGATCTCCATGTATAATACATAAGGGGGGGGGAAATGATCACCATGTATAATACATAAGGGGGGGATATTGATCTCCATGTATAATACATAAGGGGGATATGATCTCCATGTATAATACATAAGGGGGGGGGATATGATCTCCATGTATAATACATAAGGGGGGGGGGATATGATCTCCAAAAAAAAAATAATACATAAGGGGGGGGGATATGATCTCCATGTATAATTGACATAAGGGGGGATATGATCTCCATGTATAATACATAAGGGGGATATGATCTCCATGTAAAGTAAAACATAAGGGGGGGGATATGATCTCCATGTATATAATACATAAGGGGGGGGATATGATCTCCATGTATAATACATAAGGGGGGGATATGATCACCATGTATAATACATAAGGGGGGGATATGATCTCCATGTATAATACATAAGGGGGGATATGATCTCCATGTATAATACATAAGGGGGGGATATGATCACCATGTATAATACATAAGGGGGGGATATGATCTCCATGTATAATACATAAGGGGGATATGATCTCCATGTATAATACATAAGGGGGGGGGGGGATATGATCTCCATGTATAATACATAAGGGGGGGGGATATGATCTCCATGTATAATACATAAGGGGGGGGGGATATGATCTCCATGTATAATACATAAGGGGGGATATGATCTCCATGTATAATACATAAGGGGGATATGATCTCCATGTATAATACATAAGGGGGGGGATATGATCTCCATGTATAATACATAAGGGGGGGGATATGATCTCCATGTATAATACATAAGGGGGGGATATGATCACCATGTATAATACATAAGGGGGGGATATGATCTCCATGTATAATACATAAGGGGGGGGTATGATCAAAAATGCACCGGAATGCATCAAACACAAAAAAAAACGCATCAAGAACACGCATGCAGACACGCATCCGGAACGCATCTGCACTTTGTTTCTATGGTGTTGTGAACATTTCTCGGTATATTTTGATATCTCTGATATGTATCATTTCTCTGTAGATCACACTCACATTTATTGGCATTTTTATTTTGGCACACTTTTTCAGCGGCGCTATTCATATGAACGGTCCTCCCCACCCCGAAAACGCACCAGCGATGCTCACGGAGCACATTTCAGCACGTTTTGCGTTGTGTGTTTTTTTTCTTTCATTTTTTCCACGCATGTTGCTGTCATTAAGAAATAAAGGTGTCACAAGTGCGTCGTGTGTTTTGACGCATTTCCACTGCGCCCGAGTGTGTGAACGGGGCCTCGTGCTTGTATTGGGGGGGGGGGGGGAGGGGGCAGATATGCGTTTGCTGCTTCGTCTTCACAAGTCCCCTCTTACTGATTGAAAAAAACGCACCCTCCATGCGGCTGAGATTTTATCTCGGCAGCTGCTGGTCCAGGGGAGCTCGCAGTGAAAAACTTCCCAGAGGAGAATCGATCGTCCTCCATGCGGACGATAGGGAGCAGCGAGCGTGAAATCAAGAAAGTGATGGGATGTGATGCGTTTTGTCTTGAATTGTTCACAGACGCGGTGGGATGGGGTGGGGGGCGGTAAGATGGTGTGCTGGCACATTCCTTCCCCCGATGTGATGCTGTGCAGGTCCCCCCGGCGGGGCAGATATATATATATTATAACACATATGCTGTGTACCTGCGGAGTGATGGAGTTAATGCGTCGCTCTGGGTGGGGGAGGGGGGGGAACGAATGGCCCCCCTCGGGGTCCTAATAACCCAGAAGGACCATACATGGTAAAGAGATCGTCCCGGAGAGCGAGCCGCCGCAGGTTCCGGCTTCCTGAGCGCTCTGCCAAGGATTCCTCCCGTGCTTCTGTCAAAAAGATTAAACAGCCCGAACGCTCTGCGACAAAAACGCTTTTCCATCGAGGGGTCCAAGTTCTGCCCAGATCGATCGACTGTCGGGGGAGGGGGGGCGCTGCATTAGAGGCGGAAGGAAGGCTGATCCGGGCGACCCGACTTCTCCCGAACATCGCCGCTCATTACCGCCCTGGGCGTTCTACACTCTCCGGCAGGGGCGGTGCAAACGGCGGTAAAACGGACGCAAAACGCGCAACGCATGTTCAGGTGCAACCGGGCCTCACGCACACTCACCGGCAGGGGCGGACTGACAACTCATGGGGCCCCCGGGAAATAGGGGATCATGGGGCCCCTGTGTCCTTGCCCAAAACTCAAAACAGCCTATGAAAAAGGTACCAAGGGCATCTCATGGGGCCCCCTACTGACCCGGGCCCTCGGGCAGCGCCCAAGTTTCCACATGGTCAGTCCGCCCCTGCTCACCGGTCACACCGCTGCCATTTAAAATTTGTGTGCGATTTTTTTGAAGACTTTATTGCTACCTGTGAAGATTTTCAACGATTTATTGCGATTCGCGGTGCGATTTCCTTTTTCTCTATGTCTGTGAAATCGCAACAAAACTGCAGAAAGAGTCACGCAAGGACTTCTTTTCTGCAGCAAAGTCGCGTGTTAAGACGCTAACATTCACATAGATGCGATTTTAGGCTCGATTTCGATCCCCAAATCGCACCTGCAACTAAGGTCTTCAGAAATCGCGCTGACATTGCACACAAATCGCATGATTTTAAATCGCAGCGGTGTGATCCGTGACTGGATGCGATTTTAGGTGCAATCTCTGAATTGAAAATCGCACCCGAAATTGCATCCAATGGGTGTTAGTGTCTCAACGCACGCGATTTACTGCGGCGCCATTTCTAAAGTCGTTCTGGCGTGACTTTTTCTGCAGTTCTGTTGCGATTTCACAGACACAGAATAGAATGGAAATCGCACTGCAAATCGCATACGAATCGCATGATTTTAAATCGCACCGGTGTGACCGATGACTAATGTGCGATTTGCTGCGGCGCCATTTCTAAAGTCATTCTGGCATGACTTTTCCTGCAGTTTTGTTGCGATTTCACAGAATGGAAATCGCGCTGCAAATCGCAAGAAATTGTTGAAAATCCTTCACGAGTAGCATAAAGAATATAGAAATCGCACACAAATTATGCGAATTTAAATCGCAGCGGTGTGACCGGTCACAGTGATCTGACTTTGAAATCATGCGACTTCCAGTGAAGTCACGCAATTTCAAAGTCGGATGTCGTTTCGACTTGAGGTGCGACTTGCAAGACATCTGCGGCTTGCGAGACGAGTCGCACCTGAATCAGCGCATGCACTGCGACTAAGAGTCGCACCGATATGACTACTTTAATTATGGACAATAGGGTCCTGCGACTTGCCATGCGACTTGAAACTCTCATCGCATGGCAAATCGCATGGTAGGTCGCACACGGTTCTACCGGGCACTTAGTCATCGGTCACCCCGCTGCGATTTAAAATCACACAATTTTTGGGCAGTTTCAGCGCGATTTGTGAAGACTTTATTGCGACTTGTGAAGATTTTCAGCGATTTCTTGCGATTTGCTTTGCGATTTCCATCGTATCCTATGTATGTGAACCTGCAATAAACTGCAGAAAATGTCATGAAGAACTTCTTTAGAAATGGCGCTGCAGCAAATCGCACGTGTTAGGATGCCGACATTCACATTCATTAGATGCGATTTCAGGTGGCAGGTCGCAGCGGTATGACCGGGCAGTTAAGCTGTAAATGCAGGTTTTTCAGGTCCAAACTCCCCTCCATGCACACTGGAGGCGTATAGAGGAGGTGGGACCCGTCACTTCTGCGTTCCAGAGAGGAGCGTTTTGGCAGAAAAAAAGCCGACTGCGCCTACCTAAACGCCGCTGTGTGCGTCCAAACCGCGGTAACGTTAAGCGATTTTAGCACTTGAGAGTTTTTTTCATTTCAATGACCAAAATCAATGAATATTCTGTGCGAGGAAATAAATAAACGCCAAAGTGCTTGATGCGTCTAAATTGTAGCCTCATCAGTGCAGCCAATAGTGACCATCAGTGCTTCCCCAGTGATACCTGTCAGTGCCCATCAGTACCGCCCATCAGTGTCACCTATCAGTGCCCATAAGTACCGCCCATCAGTACCGCCCATCAGTGTCACCTATCAGTGCTCATCAGTACCGCCCATCAGTACCACCCATTAGTGCCCATCAGTGTCACCTATCAGTGCCCATTAGTGTCACCTATCAGTGTCACCTGTCAGTGCCCATCAGTGCCGGCTTTCAGTGCCCATCAGTGCTTGCTATCAGTGCTTTCCAGTGATGCCTGTCAGTGCCCATCAGTGTCACCTATCAGTGCCCATCTGTGCTGGCCTTCAGGGCCCATCATTGCTGGCTATCAGTGCTCCCTCAGTGATACCTGTCAGTGCTCATCAGTGCTGCCCATCAGTACCGCCCATCAGTGTCACCTATCAGTGCCCATCAGTACCGCCCATCAGTGCTGGCTTTCAGTGCCCATCAGTGCTTGCTATCAGTGCTTTCCAGTGATACCTGTCAGTGCCCATCAGTGTCACCTATCAGTGCCCATCTGTGCTGGCTTTCAGAGCCCATCATTGCTGGCTATCAGTGCTCCCTCAGTGATGCCTGTCAGTGCCCATCAGTGTCACCTATCAGTGCACATCAGTGCCCATCTGTGCTGGCTTTCAGTGCCCATCAGTGCTGGCTATCAGTGCTCCCTCAGTGATGCCTGTCAGTGCCCATCAATACTGTCCATCGGTGCCCATCAGTGTCACCTATCAGTGCTGGCTATCAGTGTTTCCTCAATGATGCCAGTCAGTGCCCATCAGTGTCGCCTATCAGTGCCCATCAGTGTCGCCTATCAGTGTGCCCATCAGTGCCCATCAATGCTGCCTATCAGTGCCCATCAGTGTCGCGTTCCAGTGCGTTCCGGTTGCAAAAAAAAAGTAGAACAGGCGGCATTTTTCCTGCACAAAGCTGCACTGTAATGCGGTAAAACACGTCAAAAATGCTCCGGAACATACATGGCCTTATTTAAATTGAAGAAAAAGAGGGGAAAAAATGAACCGGAAAGCATCAAAAAAAAGCAGAACGCGCCAAGAACGCGCATGTGGGAACTCATCCAGGACCTGTTTGCGCATTTTGTTTTACCACGCATCTCACAACACACAAAACTGCGCCTCTGCTTCCTGCGTTTGGGTTGCGATTAAAAATGAATGGCGCCGCAAGTCTGATGCATAAACACGTGCGGTTCCTTTCGTTCCAAATCGAAAATTCAGACTCATTTTTATTATGTTATTCAGAAATTCAGATACGGCCGAATTTACGAATTACCGTCGTGACAAATCCGAAATAATGACATGAAATTTAGAATTCAAATCAAATTCAACTCGAATTTGAATATTAAAGAAAATAAAATAATAGAATAGAATAAAATAGAATATAACTGTCTTCTGAAATTCAAATTTTGAAGAATAGAATTGATTAGAATAGAATACAAAGGAGCAGAATAGAATAGAAAAGGAAATAATAGAAGAGAAATGAATAGAATACACAGAATTGAATAGAAAGAATATAACTATCTTCCGAAATTTGAATTTCGAATAGAATAAATTTCAATAGCATAGATTAAAACAGAATTAAAAAAAGACCAGAATTGTAAAGAATAAAATGGAATAAAAAAAAAAGAAACAGAATAGAATAAAAAAGAAAAAATATAACTGTCTTCCGACATTTGAATTTCGAATATAATACATTTGAATTCAAACAGAATAGATTAGAATAGAAAATAATGGAATAGAATAGAATAAAACAAAAATAATATAAACTGTCTTCCGAATTTTGAATTTCAAAATAAATAAATTCAAATAGAATAGAAATGAAAAAATTAGAACAGAATACAGTGGCTAAATGGTTAGCCTTCCACCTGGCAGTACTCGGGTTGTTGGTTCGAATCCCAGCCACGGCACCTCCTGCCTGGAGTTTGCATGTTCTCCCTGTGCCTGCGTGGGTTTCCTCTGGGTACTCCAGTTTCCTCCCACCTCCAAAGACATGCTGGTAGATGAATTGGATCCTGTCTAAATTGTCCCTTGTATGTGAATGTGAGTTAGGGACCTTAGATTGTACGCTCCTCGGGGGCGGGGACTGATATGTACAATATATATGTTAAAGCGCGGCAACAGTAAATTGCTGAAGAATAAATTCGAATAGAATTGAACAGAATTGAATAGAATAGAAGAAAAAAACCCCAATAGAATAGTAGAAAATAGAAAGAATATAACTGTCTTCCGACATTCGAATTTCAAATATAATACATTTGAATTCGAACAGAATAGATAGAATAGAAAATAATGGAATAGAATAGAAAGAATATAACTGGTCTTCCACATTTTGGATTTCAAATTGAATAAATTCAAATAGAATAGAAAGAAAAGATTAGAATAGAATAGAAGAATGTAAAAAAAATAGAATAGAATAAAATAGAATATCACTGTTTTCTGACATTCAAATTTGGAAAAGAATAAATTTTGAACAGAATTGAATAGAATAGAATAGAGTTGAAGGGCGTAAAACCCAAAATCCCACAAGCGTTCACCCGCTACAAATCTGCCTTCCTAACATACAATTCCTCCCTCCATGCTGCCAAACAAGCCTGCTTTGTCACCCTCTTTAATACCTTCTCTCCAGTCCTCGTCGGCTCTTCTCTACCTTTAACTCTCTACTTTCTCCACCTCCACCCCCACCCAGCACCTCATTCACTGCCCACGAGATTGCAAACCACTTCAAAACAAGATTGACGCAATTCGTTGGGACATCACCACTGCACAGACATCCATCCCACTCAGCATTCTCATACCAAACCTCCCTCAACACTTTCCTCCTTTGACCTCGCTACCACCGAAGAGGTCACTAAGGTCTTCTCTGAAGCCCGCCTCACCACCTGCCCCCTGGACCCTATCCCCTCACAACTCCTGAGGTCCCCCTCCTCTTCCATCCTACGCTCCCTCACTCACATCTTCAATCTCTCCCTCTCTACAGGTGCATTCCCCTCCCCTCTGAAGCACGCACACATCACCCCCCATACTTAGGAAACCCTCCCTGGACCCCATCGACCTGAACAACCTTAGACCCATCTCCCTGCTGCCATTCACATCCAAACTCCTTGAGTGCTTAGTCTACAATCGTCTGAGCTCCGACCTCACCGACAACAACCTCCTTGACCCCCCACAGTCCGGCTTCCGCCCCTACACTCCACCGAAACCACCTTACTCAAACTCACCAACGACCTGCTAATAACCACCAAAACCAATGGCCACTACTCTGTACTCATCCCAAACCAATGAACCCAATGGCCACTACTCCGTACTCATCTCAACCAATGGCCACTATTCCATACTCATCCCAACCAATGGCCACTACTCCGTACTCATCTCAACCAATGGCCACTATTCCATACTCATCCAACCAATGGTCACTAATCCGTACTCATCCCAACCAATGGCAACTACTCCATACTCATCCCAACCAATGGCCACTACTCCGTACTCATCCCAACCAATGGCCACTACTCCATACTCATCCCAAAAGCAATGGGCCACTACTCCGAACTCATCCCAACCAATGGCCACTACTCCATACTCATCCCAACCAATGGCCACTACTCCGAACTCATCCCAACCAATGGCCACTACTCCGAACTCATCCCCCAATCGCCACTACTCCCGAACTCATCCCAACCAATCGCCACTACTCCATACTCATCCACCTCTGTACTCATCCCAACCACTGGCCACTACTCCGAACTCATCCTAAACCAATGGCCACTACTCCGTACTCATCCTAACCAATGGACCACTACTGCGTTACTCATCCCAACCAATGGCCACTACTCCGTACTCATCCCAACCAATGGCCACTACGCGAAACTCATCCCAACCAATGGCCACTACTCCGTAATCATCCCAACCAATGGCCACTACTCCGAACTCATCCCAACCAATGGCCACTACTCCGAACTCATCCAACCAATGGCCACTACTCCGAACTCTCCCAACCAATGGCCACAAATCCGTACTCATCCCAACCATGGCCACTACTCCGTACTAATCCCAACCAATGGCCACTACTCCGTTACTTATCCCAACCAATGGCCACTACTCCGTAACTCATCCCAACCAATGGCCACTACTCCGAACTCATCCCAACCAATGGCCACTACTCCCGTACTAATCCCAACCAATGGCCACTACTCCGTACTAATCCCAACCAATGGCCACTACTCCGTACTCATCCCAACCCATGACCACTACTCCGTACTCATCCCACCAATGGCCACTACTCCGTAATCATCCCAACCAATGGCCACTACTCCGTACTCATCCCAACCAATGGGCCGCTACTCCGTACTCATCCCAACCAATGGCCACTACTCCGTACTCATCCCAACCAATGGCCACTACTCCATACTAATCCCAACCAATAGTCACTACTCCGTACTCTTATTACTTGACCTCTCCGCGGCTTTTGATACTATTGACCATCCCCTCCTCCTCAAAAAATGACACTCTCTTGGGCCTCAGAGACTCTTCTCTCTCCTGGTTCTCCTCCTACCTATCGCAGCTCTCCTTCAGTGTTACCTATAACGCTGCCTCCTCCTCCTCACTCCCTCTTTCTGTAGGGGTCCCCAAGGTTCTGTTCTTGGACCCCTTCTCTTCCCCATCTACACCTCCTCCCTTGGTCACTTTGATAAAAACTCCCATGGCTCAACTACCATCTCTATGCTGATGACACACAAATCTATCTGTCCACCCCTCACCTCACCCCTTCAGTCTCCACCCACATCGCTAGCCTACTAAGTGACATATCGGCCTGGATGTCACCTCCACTTCCTCAAAACTCAACCTCTCCAAAACTGAGCTTCTAGTATTCCCCCAGCCCCGCGCCCTCCACTGACTTCACCATAAATATCAATAATACTACCATCAGTCCCACCCCTCACATCAGGGTACTAGGTGTCATCCTAGACCCAATCTGTCCTTCCAGCCCAGATCCAATCGCTGGACACAATCATGTAGACTTCACCTCAGCAACATCTCCAAGATACGGCACCGTTCCTAACCTCGGAAACCACTAAGCAACTTATTCCCCTCCCTTGTTATATCTCGCCGCCTTGACTACTGTAACTCCCTCCTCATTGCCCCGACCCTCATCGCAGGCTATCCCTCTTCAGTCTATCATGAATGCTGCTGACAGACTCATCCACCTTACTAACCGTTCTGTATCTGCCACCCCTCTCTACCAATCCCTCCACTTGGCCTCCACTCAGTGTTGCCTTCACCCCTCTATGCCAGTCCCTCCACTGGGCCTCCACCCCTCTCTCCAATTCCCTCCACTGGCCTTCATTCAGTGTCCTCCACCCCTCTCTGCCAGTTCCCTCCACTGGCCTCCACCCATCTCTTCCAATCCCTCCACTGGCCTTCATTCAGTGTCCTCCACCCCTCTCTCGCCAATCCCTCCACTGGCCTCCACCCCTCTCTTCCGACATCCCTCCACTGGCCTTCATTCAGTGTCCTCCACCCCTCCTCTGCCAATCCCTCCACTGGCCTCCACCCCTCTCTGCCAATCCCCTCCACTGGCCTCCATTCAGTGTTCTCCACCCCTCTCTGCGCCAATCCCTCCTCTGGCCTCCACTCAGTGTCCTCCACCCCTCTCTGCCAATCCCTCCACTGGCTTCCAGGTTGCCCAACGGACACTAAGTTCAAAACTCTGATAATGACATATAAAGCCGTCCACAACTCTGCCCCAATTTACATCACCGATCTTGTCTCTAAATATCACCCAAACCGTACTCTCCGCTCCTCGCAAGACCTCACAACTCTCTAGTTCCCTTGATTCCTCCTCCCTGGCTCGTCTCCAAGACTTCTCCAGGGCGTCACCCATCCCCTGGAAAATCCCTACCCCAATCCATCAGACTATCGCCTACTCTACTTACTAGAGGGATAATGATCTCCATATATAATACATAAGGGGGATATGATCTCCATGTATATATATACATAAGGCGTCGGGATATGATCTCCATGTATAATAACATAAGGGGAGAGATATGATCTCCATGTATAATACGCATAATGGGGGGGATATGATCTAGCCATGTTTAATACATAAGGGGGATATGATCTCCATGTATAATACATAAGGGGGGATATGATCTCCATGTATAATACATAAGGGGGGATATGATCTCCATGTATAATTACATAAGGGGGGATATGATCTCCATGTATAATACATAAGGGGGGATATGATCTCCATGTATAATACAAATAAGGGGGGGATATGATCTCCATGTATAATACATAAGGGGGGATAGTGATCTCCATGTATAATACATAAGGGGGGATATGATCTCCATGTATAATACATAAGGGGGGGATTATGATCTCCATGTATAATACATAAGGGGGGGATATGATCTCCATGTATAATACATAAGGGGGGATATGATCTCCATGTATAATACATAAGGGGGGGGATATGATCTCCATGTATAATACATAAGGGGGGATATGATCACCATGTATAATACATAAGGGGGGGATAGATATGATCCTCCATGTATAATACTCCTCATGTATAATACATAAGGGGGGATATGATCTCCATGTATAATACATAAGGGGGGGATATGATCTCCATGATATAATACATAAGGGGGGGATATGATCTCCCATGTATAATACATAAGGGGGGGGGATATGATCTCCATGTATAATACATAAGGGGGATATGATCTCCATGTATAATACATAAGGGGGGATCCATGTATAATACATAAGGGGGGGATATGATCTCCATGTATAATACATAAGGGGGGATATGATCTCCATGTATAATACATAAGGGGGGGGATATGATCTCCATGTATAATGATATCTCCATGTATAATACATAAGGGGGGATATTGATCTCCATGTATAATACATAAGGGGGGGATATGATTCTCATGTATGATCTCCTCCATGTATAATACATAAGGGGGGATATGATCTCCATGTATAATACATAAGGGGGGGATATGATCTCATGTAATAAATACATAAGGGGGGGATATGATCTCCATGTATAATACATAAGGGGGGATATGATCTCCATGTATAATACATAAGGGGGGGGATATGATCTCCATGTATATTGGTACATAAGGGGTGATATGTATGTATAATACATAAGGGGGGATATGATCTCCATGTATAATACATAAGGGGGGGATATGATCACCATGTATAATACATAAGGGGGGATATGATCTCCATGTATAATACATAAGGGGGGGATGATGATATGATCTCCATGTATAATACATAAGGGGGGATATGATCTCCATGTATAATACAACATAAGGGGGATATGATCTCCATGTATAATACATAAGGGGGGGATATGATCTCCATGTATAAATACATAAGGGGGGATATGATCTCCATGTATAATACATAAGGGGGATATGATCTCCTCATGTATAATACATAAGGGGGGGATATGATCTCCCATGTATAATACATAAGGGGGGGATATGATCTCCATGTATAATACATAAGGGGGGATATGATCTCCATGTATAATACATTAGGGGGGATATGATCTCCATGTATAATACATAAGGGGGGATATGATCTCCATGTATAATACATAAGGGGGGATATGATCTCCATGTATAATTACATAAGGGGGGGATATGATCTCCATGTATATATACATAAAGGGGGGGGGGATATGATCTCCATGTATAATACAAGGGGGGATATGATCTCCATGTATAATACAAAAGGGGGATATGATCTCCATATATAATACATAGCAGTTTTAAAGTGTGACATGTTTGGTATCTATTTACTCGCCATATGTGACATGTTTGGTATCTATTTACTCGCCATATGTGACATGTTTGGTATCTATTTACTCGCCATATGTGACATTTTTGGTATCTATTTACTCGCCATATGTGACATTTTTGGTATCTATTTACTCGCCGTAACATCCTCTTTCATATTTTACAAAAAAAATTGGGGTATATATTGCGGGTTTTTTTGTTTATTTTGTTTAATCAAAGTGTATCTTTTTTCCAAAAAAATATACATTCATTTTTTAAAAAATAAAAACCAGCGCAAACCCACATAATCAATTGCATTACTCAACTTATTAAACAAACTTAAAGACCGTGACACAAAACCACTTTTGTGCTAGTAAAAAAATATATAAAATAAAAAATAAATTATATATAAATAAATATATAAATAAAAATATAAATAAAAAACATTAAATTCATAAGTCCAGTGACAAAAAAATCCCAAAAAAATTAATTGACAGTCCCGTGACAAAATAAATCAAATTGTAATTAAATAATAATTTTCATTGGATTCTTCCGTGCCTTTGATCCCTTCACCATCCACCAGTGCAAACACCAACATTAACCGCACTCACCAGATAATAGTGAGTCACACGCCTTTCAGGAATATTAAGGGCTCCTGGACCCCCTCTACTTTTTGTGAGACCTCCAAATGCTGCTTCCTCTTGTGTCTGGGTACCTCTTCTGCTTACTCCTCTCACCGAATCCCCCAAGGAAATTCAGGAAGAAGAAAAGACCATAGCGTGATACCGTAGTGGTTTCTCCTCAAAATAATCTCTCCAGACCACTCACATTCTTTTGCGGGATATAACCCGCATTTTATTTGAAACAACAATGATTTTCTTTCAAAATGATCCACTTTTCAAGTACAACGACTTTTCATAAGAGACCCCACAGCCTAGTATACAGCAGGATGGCAGACCTCAGATGCAGACTCATCCACTATGCTAAGATGGCCCCTTGGAACGCACCGCTCGGCGTGCGTTCCACTCACCGGAAATGACGTCAGACGACGGAACAGGCAACCGGAAGTGCGTCAATGCGTTTCGCCCCACCCACAGGGCGTTATCAAGACGAGGTGCGTTCCAAGGGCCCAGACACAAGAGGAAGCAGCATTTGGAGGTCTCACAAAAAGTAGAGGGGGTCCAGGAGCCCTTAATATTCCTGAAAGGCGTGTGACTCACTATTATCTGGTGAGTGCGGTTAATGTTGGTGTTTGCACTGGTGGATGGTGAAGGGATCAATGGCACGGAAGAATCCAATGAAAATTATTATTTAATTACAATTTGATTTATTTTGTCACGGGACTGTCAATTAATTTTTTGGGATTTTTTTGTCACTGGACTTATGAATTTAATGTTTTTTATTTATATATTTATTTATATATTTATTTATATATAATTTATTTTTTATTTTATATATTTTTTTACTAGCACACAAAAGTGGTTTTGTGTCACGGTCTTTAAGTTTGTTTAATAAGTTGAGTAATGCAATTGATTATGTGGGTTTGCGCTGGTTTTTATTGATATAAGTTTTTTTGGTTTTTGTACCTGTGTACAGCAGCATCTCACGGGGAATTGTGTGTGTAATAAGAGAGTCCTGGGCGCTGAGGTTTTGTTTTCTTTACATTTTTTAAAAAAATGCCCATTTCGGTTTTCAGCACCAGAATTTTCATTTCGGTGCACCCCTAGTATTTTTAGTGCACGGCCCCCATTATAACAACGTTGTCCATTATTGTTGGCCGCAGTCTCGGGGGGTCGATAATA